CACACACACACACACACACACACACACACACACACACACACTTGTTCTTCTGTCCTTATGGGGAGTTTATATTGACTTCCTTTCATTTACTGGTCATTTCTATAGCCTAACTCTGACTCCTCTGACACTAAACTTAACCTAAACTCAATTCACACATTTGTCCTGAACCAACCCCTGACCCTCCAATGATATATCCCCCAATGGGGACTGGGCTTTTGTCCCTATAAGCAGCAGCTCTTTGAAGCTTTGACCAAAACTAACATGAAATTGAATTTTCTGCGTTTTATACTCACAACAGAGAAGTCCAGAATTGGCTGTTTTCCTTTCCATTTGTCAATACTACTAAAACATGAAACATGTTGATTAGATCATTCTAGTAGTTTGTTAGCCACTTCAAWAATCCAATTTCCAGCCTTACAGTGTGATCTTTCTCCCAAATCCATCAGGATATATTTGGAATACCTTTAAAATTAGATAACAATAGAAAAAAAACATACCTTTTATAGTTGTACTTTTTATTAAATTTGGTATAAAAGTTTTTTTCTTGTTTACATGATTTTTATTATTATTATTTTGTCTTAAAGTGTAAAAAATAATAATTAAAAATGTGCTATATATATTTAGTTTTGTAATGTCACTGCTATTGGTCAGAAAAGCCCCTTTCAACAAACTCAAAGTGGTCTGCAGACCACCAGTTAAGCCTGAAACATACTCGCTCCGACGCTGACGGGTCAACGCGCGGTCACGTGGTTGATAGGCAGTTGTTTTCGCACAGACCTTTCATAGTCCCTGAGACACCCCGCRCTGAGCTCGAGAAACCCCCCTCTTGCTGAACCATATGTCACTGCATGGAATTTCTCCCCGCAACAGCCGATAACGCAGGAAAAAAAAGACTCGTCACTCATCTGACGTATCCGCCCTGGTTTAGCTCCACAGTTTTTATCAGTTAGATTCCTCCGTGCACAACATCTGTTTAATCTCCATTCATGAGTTTTTCATGGTATGACTATCTTTATAAAACTCTACTTCCTGGTGTCGGCTCTGGGAGCGAGTTGGGATTTTTCCCCCCACCCTTTTTCTTACCGAGTGCAGCAGCGCATTCAGCACAAACACACAAGCCATAAGTTTTTCACGGTTTGACTATCTTATAAAACTCTGCTTTCTAGTCTGGGAGCGAGTCGTTCTTCCCCCCACCCCCCAAGCGCAGCACAAACAAACACGCCCATGAACTTCAGACCAATCACACATTATCATCGACACGGGAGAGGTGGTCAAAAGTTCTGCCGACGGGTTGTGCCAAAAGGGGCTGTCGACACGACGCTGAGAAGCCCGGTGATGTAATTTTCGTCATCAAACTGCGACAACRCGTGCCGACRTCAGCAGTTCGCAGGGAGTATGTTTTCAGGTTTAATGTTCACAGTTGCAGCACATTTTGTGTTTTCATTTTATTAGTGAAGCCAAGGGGCAGAAATGGCTCCATTTGATTGTAAAGGTTTAAGACCTGCAGCTTGTAAACATACTCTGTTTGGATGACATGTTTGTATTTAAACAAAAATGTCTAACATCCCTTTCCTACATGTTATAATGCGTTGCTGCCTCTTGGGTGTAGTTTCAAGAAGATGTGAAGCTGTTGGCGTGTGGGCTGCTGCTGTTTGTCCCGTCGGCCCTTTAGCTTTGATCTGCTGTAAAACACACACAAATCTTAGGAGACAGGGGCTACGTTCACGCTGCAGGTCTTAATGCTCAGTTCCGATTTTTTGAAAAAATCTGATCTTTTTGTGTGAACGTTCACATTACATTTTAAATGTGACCTGCATCAGACCCCTGTGTGAACGCTACACAGCACTGATGTGACACGCATGCGCAGTAAA